AGCCAACAGGAAGCAGAGAAATTTTTAACTCCTGGAAATTGTCAGCTCCTGGGCATGTAGAAACAGAAGCGTACCCCTCAAGATGAGAGGGCAAACTTGATGTTTCCACTAAAAATGATGAAAGGACAAAGAACTGTAGACGATGTTAATACGAGGCAATCCAAGATCAAGGCTGCGGCGATCACAGCTTTGAACACTAAATTTAATACTGTAAAAATAACTAATAGAAATTCAGTTAACTGATGTCTAGGTGTGTAACTACAGAAAAGAGGAAGACAGTTCTGACTGAAAATGCTTTCTTGATTTGGGGAAATGTGTAAAAGAGAATACTTTTCCAGTAACTTAATCCTCAACATATGGGATTTTACAGTTGTCCCTGAATGCATTTGCTCTAGAGTGCCTGGCTCCTAGGCCCATGGGCATCCTGACAAGATGCACTGGCTTTCAGGATTAACTGTTCCACATTGTTAATAAGCTTGTGCAATGAGCATTTGGGAAAAGAATTATTTCAGAGATCCCTCAACAAACAGATACTACACTGAAGCAATCTCTTTCTGCATGAACTGGGCCATACTTTACAAATAAAAGATTACACAAAACACTACCATCTCTCCTGCTTCCCACGTGGTATGAAGCGCTATGCTTTTTATGTCATTCTTTATGGCAAAAAAAAAAAAAAAAAAAAAAATACAAGTCTAGAAAAACATTAGGATAAATACAATCTTGATGATATTTAGATGTATATACATAATAAATACATAATAAAAAAAAACACAAGATATTTAAAATCAAAATCAACTTTGATCCTAAACCAGAAAGGGAAATTTCTCCCACTGTAACAGAAAGCATGAAGAGTTAACATAGTGGGTTAGATTTTGAGTATGTAATAAAGTAGATTTAGGGTCACTTGTATTAAAGAGAAAAACCCACCATAAACCAAGTGAATACCCTCAGGATGACTCTTCAAGAAAGAACAACATTATAATGGAAACATTTAGCAGTACAAAGTTGGGTTACAACCCAGATGACAGTTTGACTAATAGTCAAACAAGCATTTAATTACCCTGAATTACTTCTATAAAGCAAAGGTGTTCCATAATCTTTATGGTCATTTCAAATTTTCAAGGTCTCAGAAATAAAGCAAATACCACATCTCCCAACTTAACTTACTGTATGATGTTATTCCTGAAGCTTTTATCATGTAAGTTAAACAGAACAGAGCCTGAATCCTTATCTATTTCTTATTTAAATGAATAGGACATCAGAAAATGAAGGTATTAAGTAATAATAGTAATGCTAAAATGGCTGTACTTGTATGTCAGGTGATTCTGACCACCTACCCTCATTGGTGAAAAGGCAACAGAAGATAATCTAAAGAACCCTGAAATTAGAGACGTATGTAAAAGGATGCAATGTTGACTACTAATAAATTTTTTGCAATAAATAAATAAATAACAATCTTAAAATACTATTTGTGAGTGAACCTTATGTGTACATTAATGGCTTTGCCATCTGGATTGTGAACAATTTTCAACCTAAAGATTTCAAGAACTCAGTGGCATTTAACATACAAGTTTTTCCTGAGACTACACAGAAACACCAATCTTAATATTGCCTAATTCCTGTATATACCATGATTTTAAAGCACTTGGTGTCTAAAGATGGGCTTCTACCACTTATTTAAGTAGTCTAAGGAATAAGAAATATGGAGTTTGGTTTACATTTCACCAATCAGATCACTGGACTAAGAAAACAAGAAATCAACCACAGGTCTCTGTTCAAATGGATTATATATTTATACTTACTAGTAAACTGCCACAAATTCCCTATCATTCTAGACTTGCAGGTCATCAGACAAATGCATCTGTTCTGTTTTCTATTTGGAAAAGAATGAGTCAATGAAGCAATAATTCAATGAAGCAATGACTGGCCTATTCCCAAGGTCAAAACAAAGCTTGTGTATGTGTCAGATCATTTGGAGTAAATAACATTAAACAAATGCCACTCCACCCCCAACTACCATCACAAACTCAGTCAACCCTTTCCCAGATTCAGACACTAGAACATAAAGGCTAAGATGATGAACAGAGATGAGAAAATTGAATTATACAGAAGCTAAGCCAAAAGTCTAGTTCAGGACAGACAGAACTGAACTCTGTTACACAATTTACAGTGTAATAATTAGAGGTTACACCAGAGAACAATGTTTGTTTTTCTGTTGCTTTGTGAAGACTGAGTCTTGATATGCAGAGCCCAGACTAGCCTTAAATTCATGGCAATTCTCCTAACTCAGCCTCCCAAGTACTGGCACTATAACCAATTTGATATTTTTTAAAAGGAAAATTGAGAAGAGAAAAGGTAATGGAAAAACGAAGACATCTGCTCACCTGCTTGACTTTTACTGGTACACACTATTCTTTTAGCTAGAATTTAACATGCTACTTGATGGTAGTCCACTACCGGTTTTGTACAGCCCATGGGAAAAAAAATATCTAAGAGAAGATTTTACAGTTTTTAGTGACTGGAAAAATTTGAAACAAAAATATTTAATGCTGTGAACATGACATGGAATTCAAAATTCAGTGTCCATACACAACAGTTCACTGAAGCACAGAAACATTCACTCATTTAAATATTTTCTACTGTTGCTTTCCTTCTCTGACAGCAAAGATGAGAAGACTAGAGCAAAGACTGTATACCCCACAGAGTCTAAAACTTTTCAACAGACCTCGGTTCTTTCCCAACTCAGTAAAAACATAGTTAATGGATAAAAAGAGAAGAACTGATTTTCAAAAGAAAGTAAGACACAGGAAATGCTGAAGCCTGTGTCCACGGGTTGTCCTTTCAATTCATAGCAGAGAGAGCAAGTCTGGGGACAACACCAAGGGGAGAGGTGAATGGTCAGATTTTAATCAAATTCTTAATAACACTTCCAACAGAGGAAAAAACCCTCATTATTTACACCTGAACAAATTTCAAACACTGAAAATAGTATTGGCACGTTTTCTGTACCAAGTAAAAGTGGATACAAAATATAAGGTAAGAGATTCTCTAAGTCCTAAGTTAGACAGCCCCAGATTCCACCTGTTTGATGTTAGTCACATGATTCTTTTAGGAGTAAGTCCTTTTCATAAAAATGAGGTATGCTGAGAAACCAGAAAAGTATTCTTTCGCTCAGCAACTAAAACTATAGCAAGAAGAAAGAAAAGACCTAGGAAAGGACAAAACAAAACTAGAGGCATCTGAATTCAAGCATGAGTTTGTTCTTTTCCTTTTTTAGGAGCTTCTAGGATGAAGACATGCACCCACAAATTTTATATTCTTGTTTCTTCCCTGGGAGCAAAAGCAACATTTATCTGAAAAATGCTTGCTATACAAGCAAACACCCAGGCACTAGATAGGAATATTATCTGCAAAAAGGAGTGGGCAGGAACAGCCAGCACCTTAACACTGTACTCCAATAAAATGAGGCTTTGTTATCATCTCATACACATCAAGCAGTTTGGGATGAACAGTTGTGTTTACCTCTGTGGTAATTTTAATAAAAAATGCCGTTCTGGCCGTTGAAAAGCAAAAACAATACACTGTCAGGTCTAGCCAAGGGCCACTGTCTTTCTAAGGGCAGCGGCAGTGAGCACATTTGTTGGTCGGCTTTCTAACTGTCTTTGACTCCAAAGCATAGAGCACAAGGTCTTCTCAGCAAGTTTCCTTGATGGAGAAGCCAGCAGGAATTTGAATCAGAAGAGAAGTGTTTTTAAAGACCCACTGAAGGAGTTGAGGGATGAAGGTTAAGAACACATGTTGCTCTTCCAGAGGCCCACGTTCCAGGCCTAGCACCTACATCACTCTAGCTCCAAGGGATCCTACATACTCTTATGGCCTCCGAGGGTATCTGCACTCATGTGCACACAAACTCCTACCCGAGTAATTAAAATAATAAATCTGTTTAAAAACTCCAAATATTAAACTTGGAATGACTTACATGGCCCAACAATTCCACTGCTAGGTCTACAGAAACACATCTACATAATGTGTCTGTGTGTGTCCCCAGAAGCCATAAGCTTTCTTATAGTCCCAAACTTAAAGCATTCTAAAATAGATACCTTCTTTACAGTGAAATACTATCTGCAACAATCAATGCTGCAACATGAACAAAACGTCAAAATACTATGCTAAGTCACTGAAGCCAGCTAACATGAGCACATGCTCTATAATTCCATTCACATAAAGTTCAAGAATGGGCAAATGTATAGAAAGCGAAATTAGATTCTTGACTGCCAGCAGGCATGGAGTGTTTGAGATGATGATGCCACATCAAGAACTTAAACAGGCTCGACAGACAGCTCTATGGTGAAAAGCATTGACTGCTCTTCTGATGCACTCTTCTGGGCTCTGTGGGCACTGCAAACATGATACACATATATACAAGCAAAACAAACAGGCATAAATAAATCTCAAAAAATGAAATACAATGGCGGGTGCACGATCCTATAACTATAAAGAACTAGCAAGCATATTTTATTTGGATGGTGGTTTTGCTAATGTATTGATCCTTATGAATCTGCTAAGAAAATATTTACTCAACTTTCTTTGCTAATAATGACATTCTTCATATTTTAGACACTTGATACTGAGCTCCACAATAGAGACATATAATTTTTAAAAAGTCAGATTTAATAAGGTGCATGAATGTCCTTTAGTGGAAATCCTCGTTGTGTCATGTCACTGCAATTCTGAGGACAGGTTATAAGTGCTCACAGGGAAAATGTTTTTCACTGTAGTCTCCAAAGGACTCATAAAGGTGAGAGCATTCTAAAACTTTGATGACAACCAATGCCAGTTAAACAATAACATACCATTCACTTAAAAGCAGAACAAGAAAGAAAGGGTAAAAAAACCACTGCTATATCCCATCCTGTAATGAAAGCTACGGTTATAGACCACACAAGCCGACCAAGCTAAACACACTTTGTCCTTACAGGCCTGCAGATGCCACTTACCGCCTGGGTTCCTGGGCCTGGCTTCATTTTGAGTGTAGTAGCTCCATTTCCTACAGCCTCCTCCTCAGAAGCAGCTCTGGTCTTACTCAGATCCACCTCATCTCCAGCTTCAATGCCTGGCATTTCTGAAGAGAATATGGTTTCAGAATGAGTGCATCTGATTTAAACAAACAAGATTCCTATATACTTTAGTATTTATACAACAAACTCTGGGTTTCATACGTTTCGTTTGTTTTTCCACTCAATGGCAGGAGCTGGTGCCTTTTCTGACCCCGTGCAGAGCTACTCCTACTCACATGGTTCTGTGCCTTTAAATGAGGCTAGAGCTAAAGAAGTTTCAACTCATTGACTACGGAGTGACCATTTCATCAGTGACTTCTCATGACAACGTATGAATACTTCTTTGACAGATGGGCAGTCCACTTTCGACAAAATTACAGCAAAAGATGTTTGTACAGAGAAAATGGAAAGCCACTGAGAATGAGATAAAAGCCTGTGGGGCTAGAATCACTCACTGCCCCAATCCCATACACAGAGGTTTCTCTGTGTAGGCCTGGCTGTCATGGAACTCACCCTGTAGACCAGGCTGGCCTCAAATTTACCAAGATCTGTCTGCCTCTGCCTCCCAAGTGCTGGTACTAAAGGCACGTGCAACCAATTGCCCAGCTTACTTAAAAATACATTACAGATCCCGGTCTATAGTGTCACTTTAACCAATAAGACTGGACAATTTCAGCAAATTTTTTTTTGTTGTTTTTGTTTTTTTGAGACAGGGTTTTTCTATATAGCCCTGGACGGCCTGGAATTAGCTTTGTAGAGCAGGCTGACCTTGAACTCAGAGATCCCCTAACCTCTGCCTCCATGTGCAACTACCACCTGGCAGTAATTTTTTTTTAAGCTATTGTTTCTTCCAAAAGCAAAACACAGTTTATATATATAAACTCTTTTCCTTCTGAAAAAGGCAACAGTAATAGTTTCTCTTACCGAGCCACCACATGGTCAAGCAAAAGCAGGAAGTGATAATGTTGCTTAAGACAAATTTAGTCCTCTGACACTTCTTTAAAGGGGAAAGACTGATTGACTAGTCACAACTTACCTTAGTATTCCAAATATAAATTGAAATGCTATCTCATTTTCATGTGGCTTTTAATAATCTAGCAATGCCATTACTCTGGCAATAACACACTCCCTATAAAAGATAGAGGAGGCTTCTCTCATCAAAGAATAAATCCCACATTAAAATTCATTTATACCAATAGCACGTGTGACCGTCCAAAAGGTCTTGGAATGATAAAGGATCATTTCTAACAAAAGGGCATTCAAAATTCTTTGTCTTTTCCTATACTTACACGATCTTACTAGCAATTTAAAATAGGTATTCATGTTTGTCTAGAAAATGAAAATCTGTTAGCTTTTGTACAACTAAGTTTTATTTAAAAACATTTGACTAATCCCTTTACGAAAATCCCTTGAGGAAAACATTTCTAAGAGAGAGAGAGTAACTGTGTGCGGAAAGGTTGGGGGGGTATGGTTTTTATTATATCCGGGAACGTGATTCTTTGCATAACCTCAACTTTCTTATACCTAATCATTGGGAAATATGCACCAGCTACAACAGTAAAACACTGATTACTGAGACTCTGGAAGACTGGCTTGGTTTGGTCAAGCACTGACAACCTTCTGAGCACAGTGACCAATCAATGCTTTTGATGAGGCCAGGGTTCACATTCCCTTTTAACAGGCTTCTCCCAATTCAACAGCTAAACCTGACTCATATGAATGGTATGCGATCTTTAAAAAAAAAATACCCTTGGCTATGAGATCACACTCAGGTGCTTTTTTCCTAAGGCAACATAACCAGGGACTTTCCTCAACCCTGGCCATTTTGTGAAAAAAAAAAAAAAAAAAAAAAGCAGCGATTTCTTTACTACTGGCTACTTTTTATTTATTTATGTATTTTTGTAGTTAGAGACTGAGCACCAAGCTTGTTATAAGCCCTTTTGGTGACAAAATAAGCCACCTATACAAAATATGCCAACCCCAAGATCATATGAACTTTTAAAATTTGCTTCTTCAAACCTTAACAACTTGCACAACTTCTTAGTATCTGTACTACAATCGTAAATACTTGAAAACAGAAGTCTAAGATTCTGCTGGCTTTTTTTCTTTTTTTAACCTTTTCTGATCCAGTGCTACAGATACATACTCTATAGCTTATAGTTGCTAGTTCGAACTTTATACTTTATAGTTGCTAGGGTCAAATCATGACCATAAAACAAGAAAGAGAATCCCATTCAGGGTGGCCAAGGACAGAGCACCCAAAGAAAGGCAAACAAGCAGGCATCAACTTACAGCCACTCCCATGCTTCTGAAATGTCAACCTGCCAAAGCCCCCAAAATAGACTTGTTGGTGTGCCTTGTTTTAAAAATTAGAGACCTCATTTCAATGTTGAGATAGAAGTCAGCCTAAAACAGCACTAAATCGAAAGACTTGAAAGTCACCAAAGCCAGCACTAAATCTAAAGACGTGAAGTCACCAAAAAACCCCACCTCAGCTCCCTTAAATCACTCAACTACTGCACTGGAAGTTGGGGTTTAAAACAGCTAAAAAGCCCCTCATCAGGGCATAGGCACTGTGTTTAAACATCCTCTTCCCAAAGAATTTCTTTTTGTTTGTTCATTTCTCTCCAAACCTCACACCCACAAGTCTAACTTGCATTACACTTAAAAACATTGCCAACAGATAAAAATACATATATATATAAAAAAAAAAAAATCAGACGCATGGTAAAGCTGGTAGCAGGTGGTGGTATGAAAGTCTGCATTCAACTGACCTTCAGGGACTTCAGAAGACAAGATTGACAGCCATTCCGACTCCAGTTTCAGCTTCAATCTCAAAGGCCATAAGAAGCTCTATTCAGCAAGCTCATTCCACTGAGCAATGGTTTCTCTCTGCTCTCTCTGGACATGGTTACCCATCGATGGAACAGGCTGCTTGTGTTGAGCAATCTGCTCCGTGCAGCTGCTTCACCGAGATAAGCAGGCACCAGGTCTGCCGAGTGACAGCAGCAACCAGACTGGCCTTGGGCGGAAATCCTGTATCCTATCCCCTGTGCTGTGCTGGACCCTGAATGCCCAGACTCTGCCCAAAAGTAAGCAGCAAACCTGGAGGTCTACTCCTCCGGCAGGAAAAGGAGGGAGTAAACACCCCCAACTTAATCAATGACATAACATCACCATTTTAGATATCCATTTAATACAGTACTTCTCAAAAACAGCTGTTCATGAAACCAGACTGACTTTAAATTCTCTTTCAATACAGACAACCATAACTTGGAAAAGTTTCCAACTTGTAAACAAAGCACATTCAATTCAGTACTGTGCTCTGAGGTTCTAAAGAAAAGAACTAAAATTGTTTGATTATCTAACACTGTCTAAGATCCAGGTACTGTCTTCCGGATTTAGAAACTGCGACAGCTCCAGCACAACAGTGTAGGCTTAAAAAAAAAAAAAAAAAAAAAAAAAAAAAAAAAAAAACCTTTTGTAGCTATAATACAGGAAGTAAAATCTGTCCAACCCAAGATGACATGTGTTTCCTGACAGTAGTGACTATTAACTTGGCAGTTTACACTACTGAGCAAGCAAGACCTCAAACCAACATCGACAGTCTTAGAAGCAACATATATGCTTCTTAAGCTATTAGTTAATTGTTTACATTGCTTTGCTCACCTGGTGCTTGCTCAGGACTGTTGACAGGTGGAATGATTTTCTTTGGTTCCTCTGCCTCAACAACACAGTTCCCCATGGTTTCTTCATGAGCATTATCCATCTGCAGGGTCTCTCCAGGTAGAAAAGCACATGGACTCTCTGTGCAAACAATCTCCAGCTGCTTAGTCTCTGGACTGGACGGTGAAGAATTACTGATTTCCCCCTCAGTCATCAGTATGTTGGAGGCCTTGACTTGCTTGATGACAGCCTCCACTATATGAGTGGCAATCTCCTCTATGGAGTCTGCGCCCTGTGCAGCTTGGGCTGAGACCATTCCAAGTACAGTGGTGGCATTACTCTCCTCTCCCGGAACTGAGGCCTGTGTGACTTGCTTCATAACAGCTGGGAGGACATTGCCATTGAGAACTGAGAGCCCTGTCTCTGTAGGGAGGTCCCTGGCAAGAGGCTGCATCATTTCTTCATCGTCTGGGGCCTTTTTAGAGATACTCGTGGCACAGCTGAGTTCTGTTCCCTCCAGTTTCTCTCTCTCGCAATCAAATGGTACTATCTCTGGGGTCATGACTTCCTGTGAGCCAGTGACACCTTTGTCCAGTAAAGCTTCGGGCACACTTGGAGTCATTTTCTTCTCTTGGTTTAACAACTCTGAAGTTGGAATGTCTTTGATGCAGTGTGATGGATCCTTTCTTCCGGGCTCAGCAGTAGCTGGTAAAGCATGAGCAGCTGTAACATCCACCATCACATCATTTCTGCTTACCTCAGAGGCACTGGTTTTTCCTTGGAACTGAGTGTCCTTCGTACCAACATCAAGAACACAAGGTAGATCACAATGGAGTGCCTCAGATGCATCTGGCAGCAGACTCGACAACAGGGAAGAGCCACTCTGCTCTGTACACAAGGCTTTCTGCTCTGAATCTGCAGCCAGACTTACTCTTGGTGGCACCAGGCTCCCTACAGCCCCACCTTCAGTTGGCAGCGAGGAGACCTGCGGGGCCACTTCCTTGTTGTGCTCAGTTTCTGTTTTCAGACTGGCAGAGGGTGTGTCTGGTGAGTTGCTGTGCTGCACAGCTTTCTCCCCGGCACATAGGGCTGACGTAGGTTCTTCACATAATCTTGGGATCTCCTGCTCAGAAGGCAGTGTTCCCCGGTTTTCCCTTGACATTTCTGAAGAAGGCACATCTTTAACGGAAGAACATCTCATTGCTTTATCCTTATCATCTTGCTCCAGAGCTGTGGAGCTTTCTGGAACCACACTGCTACCTTCTTCAGGCGAAAGAGAGTCAGAGGCCAAAGCAGCTTTGTCCACACTTTGTAGTGAAGAGTCGCTCAGAACTTCAGGTGTTGCTTTTGGGCCAGGACCTTCGTGTTCTCCAGCAAGGCCTACAGGGCTGGTGTTCCCCATGTTGGTCTGAAGCTCTACAGCAGACGGTGCAGACAGGCCAGTGGCTCTGTCTCCTAGCTTATCGGTGTCATTCAAATCTCTTCCATCTGGGCCATCTCTACAAGCTGCAGCTCTATGGAGCTGAGGAGTTGCTGTTCCCTTTTCTTTCTGGGAGGGGACAAGAGAAAGTGCGTCATCTTTGGTTACTGATTCACTCTCTGGACTGCTTGCCAGAGAGAAACTGCTGCCGGGTGGCGATACCTGGTCTGGCACTGTTTGTTTCTCAGTTTGGGGGACAACTGAAGGCAGACATGAAACATCCTCAAGCACAGTCATTAAAGGTGTATCTTGTTTCAAATCTTTCCCTTGGTTCTTTGCATCTAAAACACAGACAGGACAACCCCCCACAGGGTCCTGGGTAGTTTTCATAGTGTCAGAAGTGACTGTGTCAGCTTGTGGGTCTTCTGGGCAGAGGGCGGTGCACGGATCTTGCTTGTCTGGCTGCACTGTTGTGCTTTGGGGCAGGCTAACTTTACTACTGCTCTGCTGTACAACTAGCTCACCACTAGAAGTCACTGTGTTGTGCTGACATGCACACTCAGCACAAGATGGGCCAGCTGGAGAACAGAGCAGTGCCTGGCTGTTCTGGCTTTGAGCATGCCATGAGTTACAGTCTGACTTTTGTTTTGGCATCTCATCTGGATTTGGCCCGGAAGAGGTTAAACTCAAGGGTGATGGTGTCTCACAAAGGGCTGCAAGGGGAGTATCAGGTTCCAGTCCACCTGACCTCTTGTCTTCTGCAGCAGCTGGGAACACCTGAGAGCTCTGCTCACTTACAGTGTCAGTGCTCTCCTCACAACTGCTCCCCTGAGCTTCCTTTCCTGCTGCTTCAGTGAGGATTTCTCCAGGACTCAACGCAGGCAAAGACTCACCAGGAGTGTTAGCACCCAGGGCACTGCTGGCAAAGACATGGCTTGTAATATTGGCTTTCTCTACAGGTTCACATAAAACCTGAACATCAGATGCCTCAGCTGTGCTAAGGTCCAAACTGTCAAGTTGTTCCTTTGTGCCTTCCCCCACGTGAGGCTTACTATTCTGGGTGGCAGCATCTGGGTTTAAGAAGCCTTGTTGCGGCTCCCCTGCCTTCTCTGGGGCACCAACATCTGTTGAAGAACTGTCTAGGAGCTCCTGTCCAGAAGAGTGCTGGCAAGCACCTGGCTCTGGGACCATGACTTCCTGCAGCACACTGCCCCTGCTGCTTAGTGGCTGCTGATCTGTGGTCACTCCTGAATATTTTGTTCCAGTTACTTCATTTCTGTTCCCACAGGTTGGAAGGCCTTCTGTGCCCTTTGTTCCACAGTCAGCTATGCTCTCAAGGCAGCTGACTTGATGAGGTGCAGACCTGGAGTCCAGGGCAGATGCTGGCCCCGCCTCTTCCCCTTTTCTCCCCACATCTTTATTTTTCTTCTGAGAACAGACTACATTTTCTTCCTCGACCACATGTGACAAATCACAGAAACTTTCAGCCTTCCTCCCAGGACTCCCTTGGCAGCATGGAGTGCTCTTAGCTTCTTCAGAAGAAAGCTGTTGGTGCTCAGACGGCTCTGGTGCACAGAGAAGGAACTGGCCATCTGTCTCTGGTGCATTGGACACACTAGAAGAATCTTGTGTTGTCACCATTAAGGGCGTAAGATTGTCCATCTGCTTCAAGTTTGTTTTCTAGGAGAAAAATCAAAGACACTTTTAAAAATTTGGCCATTCAAAGAAAAGAGGAGGGGAGACCTGACCATGAGGAAAAAAAAAAAAAAAAAAGTCACTGATAACTGTAAGCAACATCTTGTTAGAATTGTCTTTCCAGGTCTTCTCAGTTAATATATGATGTAATACCCTCCGCCCACATCTATGTATCCATTGGGATGTTAAATTTTATTTAGGTTATACTCAAGGACTGATTTCCATATCAAAAAACAGATTAAAAAGTAGGCCTCAAAAGCCTTGTTTTAAGAAAGCACAATGAACATCTTCAAATATCAGTCAGTCAGGATCCTTAGCTCTTTATAGGAAAGGAGTCTACTTCACTTGCCTCAAAGATTAATGTAAAACCAAAATTCAGCAATTCTTACGGTACTACTTATTTTGTACACAATTATTTTGAAATACCTGCTTTCCATTTATTATTTATCTATTGCAATAATTTTATTACACAACCACTAGCATGTGTCATTTATTGGTTTAATCTGTAAATATACTGAGTAGTATATCATCAGATTGTTCCTGCTAATAAAAGCTATTGTAAAGTTTGCAAATAACAGTAAAATGTATTATCTTTGCTAAAGTCCTTTTGAAAGAGTATACCAAAAACCAGATTCTCAGCACATATGTGTATGCTGTATTCACTAACGGTATTCAACATTAGCCTCCTAAGGGTTAGGACAGCAAATCAACACCTTTAATGAAGGGTGAACACTGCAGACCAGAGAAGCAAATAGGTAGTGCTTCCTAAAGAATGGTAGAAGCAGCAGTGAAATGTGCAAGCTGAGTTTTCCCAATTATATAATCATCGTTTTTTAGTTCAAAGGCAAAAAAAGTAATTACAGAACAGTCTATTCAAAGGAAAACAACATGATGGAAATAAGTATCCTTCAGAAAGGCAGAAGAAGTCTGGAAAGATGGCTCAGTGGTTAGGATCAATGGCTATTCTTCCAGAAAACCTGGGTTCTTTTGCCAGTACTCACAAGATGGCTCCTAGCTGTCTGTAACTCCAGTTCCCGGGAATATGATGCCCTCTTCTGATTCACAGACACAAACACATACAACACACGCACATGATGCATAGATGCACACAATGCATGTATATGATTCACAGACAGACACACAATGCATGCACATGATGCACACTCAAAATGCATACACTTGATGGGAGACACACAACCCATGTACAAGATCTACACACACATACATACACAATGCACGCACAAGATGTACACACACACAAAATATATTCACATAATGCACAGACAATGCATTCATACAATACACAGACACACACAAAAAGAAAATATTTAAAAAAAAAACAACCCAACAAGAAAAAGAAGAGAGGAAGAACAAGCCATTTCATATAATCCTAGTGTAGAATTGTTTTGGCTTGCTCGTCTCTGAAATAACGCCTCTGGCAATTGAGCTGGCCCTAGATGACCTCAAACAAAATTATTATCAGGCTGTTTCCAAATCAAATCAGCTCTGAAATAAACTGGGTGGAAAAATGATCGAAGCTTGGCGTCTCAGATGCTACAGTGCAGAGAGATGTGCATATGTGACGTCCATATTAACCACAATAAATGCTACCACGGAGTCTGTAATGATTTTATGTCTGGCAGCCATTTTATCTTCAAAGCTTGAGTAGATTATAGAATCCTTATTTTTCAGATGTCTTTTAAACTGTCAATGGTCCATATAAACATGGTAGCTCTATCATCACTCACTGAACAGTGGTGAAAGGGTTTTCCTGAGGAGTAAACTCCTTTCTTGGTCTTTAGCAACAATCTAGAAACTTTGGTCTCTTTTAGTTCTAAAACATTAAAAAAAAATAATTTTTTTTTCACGACAGGAAAATTTTGTTCTATTTACTACACATTTGTACATCTACAATGCCTATGAGTATCTTTCATTAATTCAGAAATTTGTGAAGAATTTAAAGATCCCTCTGGACTGGCAAAATGGCTCTATGAGTAAAAGCACTCGCCATGCAAGCCTGAGAACCTGAATTTGATCTCCCAAATCTATAACCAAAGGAGAACTGACTCCTGTGCCTTCTGACCTCTACACACATGCCCAATACCAAGGACACACACATATGTGCGTGTTTGTGTGGGCCACCTACAGGCATAGGGCCTGTCCTTAAGTGTGGTTTGACACTGTTGGAGAAAACTAATTTTTCCTTTGCGAGCAGTTATTGAATGGAGGTAGCTTCTGGGTTAGGGATGGGAGCTCATGTCTAAATTCCTTTTTGGTACTGGAATCCCATCTGGCTTAGATCTGTGCAGGCCCTGTGTGTGCTGCCACCATATCTTTGACTTCATAGATATCTAGCTATAAACCCTTTGATCTACAGTTGTGACCTATATGCAAGATACACTGGCCCAATAGAGGCACAAAGTTACGGGAGCAACTAACTACTGAGAGGATCTTTTAAGGCCCATGAGATAGAACCTATGCGGATATTACTCAGGTGGCCAAGAACCTGAGACTAGGTAGGCCATGGGCTTAGGGGAAAATCAAATACTACTCTTTTGCTAAAGGAATGTAGCAAAAGGATGACTCCTAATAGCATTCTGCTTGACTCATGGATCAGTATCTTGCTCAGCCATTATCAGAGAAGCTTCCTGTAGTAGATGGGAACAAAATAGAAACCCACTATGAAACAAAGTGCAGAGTTTGAGACCTTGAAATATTCAGTTCTAAATGGGATGTCTCCATCAAGTCCCTCCCCTCAGAGCTCAGACAACCCTGTGGGAGATTATAAGAGCCAATGGGAATAGAGGACACCAAGGAAACAAAGCTTTCTCTAAGTAAAAACAAAATGAAATCTTAAGCCTCTACTGCTGGAATCTGAATGTTAATTCTGTATCTTAAGTGGCCACTGTCAGTTTGTTTTCTACGCTGTTATAAACACCATGACCAAACCCAACTTGGGAAGAAATGGGTTTGTTACATTTTACAACTCTCAGATGTAGTCCATCAATGCAGGAAGTCAGGACAGAAGCTCAAATAGTGACCTGGAGGCAGGAGTTGATTCACTGTAGGAGAATACTGCTTACTGATTTGCTCCCTACAGCTTGCTCAGCCTTTTTATATAGCCCTAGACTACCTGCCTAGGGATGAGCCCTTGCAATCTAATGTATGCATTTCTCAGTTGAGAAATAACTCTAGCTAGTGTCAGGTTGACAAATACTAAGCATCATAATAACACTGCATACTAACAATGCTTTATAAATTCATATTCAACCACAGCAAGACTCACTGGGGGAGGGGGATAGGCAGAGGCAGACATCTAACTAAAAATGAAAACTTTCCCTTACCATTAGCTGCTGTTGGATATTCATAAGTTTAGAAATATGTCCAGTACAAGTGACTCCACGGGGTTCATGATGTGATTCAGATTCAGAAGTCAATGTATAGATGTCCAATTCTCGATGGTGCTTCACTGAACAGTCTCCATAAGGGATTTCATAGGATAAACTGCTCCAGGAATCTGGCTCCCCAGCATTTTCCCTGTAAGCAAGCAATCTTTTGTTAATATATAAATCCTACTAGCAGGCATAGGTTTAATCTCCTAAGTATGATGCAATATTCCTGATTGCTTTCTGAGCCTTCAGAGCAGAAATGGGTTCATGCAGCTCCAATGATTCAAGCGTGTGACAAGTATCTGTATCATCTCTTCCTCTTTGCAAGAGAACAAAAACGGTTTAAGTGAAACCTAAAAGACAATTTCCTAAGGATGTTCTTTTGATCTAGAGAGGAAGTCTAGAACCTTTAAATAGTGAATATCATAATAATCAAATAATGAACTATAAGAAAGATGGCTTCAACCTGGATTTCAATAGTAGCAAGACCCATTAAGACTGGATGATAAATAGGTCACACTATATGCTAACAAAGTCAGTTCAGTTCCACTAGCAGGGAAGAGCCAGTCACCCCAACCCCTGTAAGATTGTCCTGTGAAACAATAGGTAGAGGAAACACCTTCCAACTTCTTGAAGTCACCTACACAGGGAAAAACAATGCTATATATGCTATTCTCATCAACACACTTACAAACTCCTGTTTTAAAAAAGCTTTGCTCCTAGGAACTTAAGCTAATAATAATTTTTTTTTTCAACTTGGAAAACAAAACTTGGTTATGTGGCTCCGTGACAGAATACCTGGGATTTGCAAGAACCCTGCGATCAGTCTCTAGCATAAATAAGTAAATAAACAAACAAACAAATAAATAGATAGATAAATACATACATACATACATACATGCATACATACATAAATCACCAAAAACAAAAACCAAAATTCAGCTTTTCTCAACTCATGTTGTAAACATAGGTAGAATATAAATAAACCTCCTATACAGACATGAACAACCACCCTCCTAAGACTAAAAACATGAAACTATTTTTTCTGATAAATGTAGAAAACTTCAGATTTAGTAAAGAAGGCAGGTTTACTTGAAAACATTTTAAAACAAGCGAACAAGAAAGGAGTAACAGGTTCTCTCACTGATGTTCTGCTATTATATCCACTGGATTTGTTCAAGACAAGTGGGCTTCTTTACAGAGGTCACAGCACTTCCAGCTTTACCTCTGCTCACATGGTCCACTCATGTCCCTGTCTGCTTACTATGCATCTGGTATACTGGTTTTATGCTGTATGAAGCGATTTATCAGTTTAAGATAAACAGGGATGAAGGACACAGTGTATCACACAACTTCTTATTCTCACTGTATATACTTTGGCATACATTTCAAGTTAAGGAGTCTCTTCTGTTTTTGGATGCACATCTTGGAAGCTCTAATCCTAGGTGTTCTGTCCTTTCTTGTTAGTCAGTATAATGCACAGAGCTGTTATTTCTGTATTCTAACCCAAGTACTGAATTTCTTGGTAATATGATGCTATAAAGTGTCTTAACTCCTCGGGACCTTAGTTCTATAATCTGTACACAGAAATATGACAATTCAAACATGGTTTCAAGAAATGGATAGAATGAACATCAAGAACTCAGCACAGGCAAAGTACAAGCTTCTGTAGCCTGTTATTCCCCTCTCCGGCCTTTAAAAAGGCCCACCCACACATTCTACCATTTCCAAAGCATAGGCCTTCTTTATATATAAGATCACCACACTTTTCATTTTAAAGTCACTTCCTTTGTCCAGTCTGCTTTGCACCTGCAGAGTAGCTACTTAATATTGTTTTGAGTAGAAGCCCTTCCTGTATCTACCATTAGTAATTAAGTTGTCCCTTCGCCTTAACTTCTGCCTAGTTAACTGAAGTTTACTTTGGAAACTGTACACAATGATTTTACTGTGGCTCAACTAAGTATGGCAGGACACAAAAGCATACCTACGAATACACTAGAGAGTAGTTGATGAATTAGGATGCCCTGGTAAAGACCTTTTTTAAAAAAAAAAAAAAAAAAAAGTGAAATTGAGACCTTTAGATGAAGGAACTTCAACCGTATAGAAAGTTCTACAGAGAACTCTACTACTTCTTCTATCTCCATTCCCTTTTTAGATCATGGTGAGAAAACTACCATTACGAGGAAAGCAAAAAGGTATTTTATTACTAACTGGCATTTATGCAGTGTAGACATTATTCATTCCTACAGTACACAGTATTAAGTGTCATAAAATTGTCATATTCAAACAGATTCTGAAACAGACTTAAAACTTTCAATCTTCCTGTCAAATGTGGTTTACACTGTTTTCAAACATTCTTGTGTGCCCCAAATTGTGTATTGCTCCAGAAAACACTCTTTCGAGCTCGGCAGGACTTCTGTGGTCTGGTCATCTGTGACCTCTCCTGGGGACAAAGAACACATATCTTCTGAACAACATGTTTCCACTCTTCTATGTAATCCCTTGTCACATTATAGGTGCTCAGGGCTTTATTGGGATTCTACTTCAGAAAAAAAAAAAAGTAAGAATCTTTTATTTTTCTCAAGATAGTTGAAATATTTTCAGATTATGATTCTGGAGATAGATAACCTGAAGAAAAAAAAAAGGGCCCAAATGACCCAATGTATTAAGTAGTTATGATTTAGAAACCACAAGTAGCATAAGAAACCTAAGACCACAATAACCTAACAGAAAAAAAATTACTTAAGAGATGATTATTGGGTTGCTAATAAAAAAATGAAAATGAAGTGCAATGGATTACAATGTTTTATTAATGTAATTTATAGCACCTCCCCCATTATTCTTAGATTACAATATGACCCTCAGGCTGGTCCAGAATTCATAATTCTTCTGCTTAAATTTCCAAGTGACAATACCAATATTCTGTATAGAGATGAAATGTAAATAAACTGAAGTTTCGCAGAACTACTGTGCACAAGCAAAATTTTATCTATTTACTTACTTATTTAATCATTCATTCACTCATTCATTCGTTTCCAGCAAAATATTTGCTCAATTTGGTAGTTTTTGTGGATTAATAAGATTATATGTAAATCTAAACACAAAATGTTTCTTTAGACTGCATTTTAAAATGGTAAATGAGCTATTATAAATGTTCAAATTTTAACATTTCCAAAAGTTTATGCGCTAAAAGAAAATGTGTCTGTAAATGCTCTAGAAGATATTTACAAAAATGTTAGCTGTGTGAGCTATAAAATACAAATATAAATCTTATGAAATACAACGGGTCAGCACAGGAAGCCACTGCTTTTCCTCAGTATTTGAAAATGTGTTATGAGTATTTGTTTCAAATGTTCATACTGGTCTTTTTCTAATATGGATAAATTCCCAAAAACCTCATTGAGAAGGTAACACCAAAGAGCATTGCCACTGTATTATAAATGCACTGGACCTGAGTCCCATCTTCTTTGTATTTCTGTCAAATTCAAATCTTAAGATACCTAAAAAACACTACATCTCTAAACAGTTAAAGGGCAAGCTACACACATTCTAACATATAGCAAATATTTATTCAGCATTTATTATGAGTCTAGATACTGTTAATATTTTCGGTGAAGAAACAACTGATACAAGGGTCCTTCTTTTACAGGGAGTACAATTTGGACTCCTCATAAAGTCATCAGGAAAAGCTCTCAGCGGCAACAATGACAACTGACTTTAATGATAAAGAGGCAGCAAGTGGAGTTAATGGAACATGTAATTTTAGGCGAACAGCACAGAAGATGTAAAGAACTTGAGATGGCAAAGGGCTAGTTAGTGAGGGCTAGTGTAGTCATGCAGGAAAAAGCAATGGGAATGGGGAAAATGTTTGTGAAATAAGGTCTGAGAGCTGTGTGTGAGAACAGTGTGGGTCCTGACAGGAACTAGGACTTTATTCTTAGTGGTGGTGACAAAACACCGAGAAGGTGGACAGAAGAGAAAATTCTAAGGATGAAGTTAACAACATTAGCCGCTTAGTAAGAAACCAAAACAGCACTAGCCACCTTTAATTCTTACAACTCTGGGGTGAGCATCACTGTATTTACATCCTGAATGTATGGACATTTAGATTTGAGAGGTAATTTACCTCCACAATACCTAGCTAGTAAATCAAAAGGTCAGAAACTGTACCTCAACTCAATTCTAAACCACGTGCCTCTCTCACTTCCCAATATGACCTATCACTTTAGTAGCTTCAAATTATGGCAACATCCAAACTGCACAAAAATTTGATACAATATGCAACGTGAGTAAGTCAGGCATAGTATGTACTTGTTTTCGTAAATTTTACAGTATCCACAAAATTGTACAATAACACAAATTAGAAGTAATTCTCTAAAGAGAGGGGTATAGTATACAAATTGGCACCAAACCTAGCAGTTTATATATGCAATTCAACAAACTTCAAAATGCTAATAAAAGACGTCACTGATTCTGAATAACCTAGCTGCTACAGAACAGTCAATACCACCTCTCTACTGTCTCACCTTGCAACTTCAAAAAAACCAAACGAAATAATTAGGCTTAATGCTAACATACATGTAAATCTTCAACAAATCAACTACAAAGAAATACACTTTTCCAGACTTAGTAAAACTAGACATTCAGGGGAAGTCGAAAAATACTTCCTTGTTTAATTACAATAAAAAGCTACCAAAAAAAAAAAAAAAAAAAAAAAGCAGTGAAGACTAATAATTCATCAGTCTGAAAGCCAATACTTACACTTGTCTGCCCAAGCACCATGAGTATCTCAGGCCCATCCTATTTGGGTTCTGGACTCACCCTATCACTTTAAGAAAAGACAAAAATCACTCGGGCCAGCCCTCTCAAGTGGGGTGTTCCGCCCTGAGCCTACTTTGACAAGGAACTGCAACAGCTGGTTCCTTATCTGAGAGCTCCTGCAATACCTTTCATGAAACCACAACACTATAACATTGCCAAAGCTCAATGGGGTTTACAAAATCAACCACAGCTCCACTGAAATGGAGCTACAATGTCTAAATTCCAGAAGAGGAGCAATTAGACCAAGGAGAAAAGAGTTATTCTGCTCAAAATGGAGCTATTATCTTAGCTAGGTATTGTCAGATAAACATTCACATATATTCAGAT